ACAGATGATGTTACACCATGTACAAATGGTGTTACACCTTCCGGAGCGGTTGTTCTGACAACCGCTCCAGCCCCGCGTCCGGCTGCTCAACAAAATCAAGTAACCGCAAACAGAAGTTGTGAAGCATCTCTCAAGTGATTGGATTAAGTTACTTGATGACATCTACCTAAGCAATCTGTCAAATAATCCATTTATTTTCCTCAATAATAATAATAATAAAATATATCTATCTTTTTTTTTTTGGGATATTCAATATTTTTATCATACCAAATACCAAATACAAACCTTTAATTGTGGCTGATTTGGCTGAGCAATCTTGCAAAAATACAAATAATGCTTGCCTTTGGGATATCACAACTCACAAGGGGCACGTATACCCTTACCTCTTTGCATACATAAAATGTAGTTGATAATTTGGTACATGTAAATCACTTGCGGGCCATAGAATTTTTTTTAGGATATCAAAGTAGATGCAAAAAGATAAGAATGCAAAAGTGTAGGCATTTCTTGCCATGAAGTCACTCTCTAAAACATTAATCTTTGGGCCCTATGAACATGATCCCCTTGAGCACCATTTCTTTAACTTTTGTAGTATTATTTATCAAAACTTATGCATCATCGAATACATCATATATGTCTTTAGATTCATATAATTAAGTTAAAATGTGAAATCAAACAGAACCCATTTAATTTTTTTTATGCATTAATTAACTAAGAATGGAATAAATTAGCAACCCCACCCTTATGATGGGAACATTATCTCCATTTGAATGGAAGTGGTTAATGATGATTGTCTAGTGGAATGTGGATTTCTATTTCTAGACATACACTAGGTTATGCACTTATGTTTAGATGGATGTTTCTTATATCCTTTCGTTCACTTTAAAAGCAGAAATTGTTGGCCAAAGAAAATATAAAGGAAGTTAAATTCCAACAATTTAGGCTTTAGCTGTCCTAACACGTCAGTTGTTATTCCTTTTTCAGTATTTTGATGATGGTGGCGGGAGAGAGTAAGTTGGATGGTACGAGAAGAGGAAGTGTAAATGAGAGATCTTGAACTTATAAAAATATATTTTTTTTCTTAGCAATTTCAATCCTATTCTTGCTTCTTTCTTTCCCCTTCCCCATCGGACACCTACTTCTTAGCCTACCAAAGTAAACACTATTTAAGTATTTGTCAAAAAATGAACAGGATAAAAAATAAATGATCAAGTATTCTATTAGCAAGATATAAAAAAAAAACAAACAAAAAGGGTTGACACAATGAAATGATTCTTGAATCATGTATGTAGAAGTACAATAATGAGGAACATCCAACTAATTTTTGTTGTGCAAGAAAAATAGTTTTCTGACAGTAGAGATGTCAGAATGGGGATCTCCACTAATGCCTTTCCTTGTCATCCCGTGAGAAAGGCCAAGAGCCCTTTTGCAGTTCTCAATTTAAATGGATACTAATAATTGGATTGAATTTCATGGCTTGGAAAGTAATCCAAACAAGAAGATTTGTTACATGGTCCCAATGCCACTCGTAAAAACGTACCATGCTTCTACAGCAAAAATTGACAACGTCCAAGATTCATAGCAAACTTATTAGTGGTTTGAAGAGGAGGAGTAATAGGAAGATTCATTCAAGGAGGAGAAATGGTCAATTCCTTTTACAACAGCTGAAATGAAGTGTCTCTCTCAAGACCGTTTGCAGCTATTACTGCAAGATGTACAATTCCACAAAATATGACGTCTTGTCAATAGACTGAACAGCACTAAGACTCTTGACCATGAAAGTATGACATTTATGCTCATGGGTACGATACCACTACAGAAACGCGGAAAAATTTTTTTAGCATGAAATTACAACTTGTTCGTCATGATAAGATTATTAATGACGAATAAGAAGTCCATAACCGTATAATTAGACTAAACTCACAATCACAATCAGCTCAAATGCACAAACTCAATCCACATTCCACAACGACTTTCAATCGGCCACCACCACCAATATGACAATTTGGTTGGATAAGGAATGAATGATGGCTGAAGCCCACCAACATTTTTTTTTTTTTTTAGTATGTCTTCTTTTCTTGCCCAATCACAACCACTTCAGTTAGATTCCATCCAAATGACAATAAGAAGAAAAGCCTTAGATGCCAAAGTGCTTTGGAATCATCAAATTCTAAAGTCTGTCAATATAAAATTCAAATCACCTATATGACCAAAACCTTCTAATCCCATTAGATTATGGAGCTTAACAAACTTCATTTATTAGCACCTTCTCAGGATTAAACTTACTATACAAAGCACTGAGTTTGAACGATCGATTTTTCTAACGGGTGTCTAACACAATTACATTCCACCCAACCCATCATATATATACATACACACTAATAATTACTACTTTTTCTTACATTTATACACTTTCCCTGATTTAACGAGTGTCCACTTGAAAAGGAGCGTTGAATTATTAAATGTCAATCCACTGTGGTGTAAGGTCTTGCTATAATAATTTCATTAATCATCTTGTGCAGCAGTTTGCCATATATTTTACTCTGTCTTTTGTATAATTCACTACGGGCCACGTATTGTTTAAACTTGAGGTCCAGGTGATGCTATGGATAGTGGATTTCTCTGCTGGAATGGGCTCATTAATTTCGGTGCACAAATTCATCGCTCCAAAATGTGTTTGGACTAAAAACTCCGCGCGCACTTTTTATTTTTAATTTTTTTTTGTCAAAAAACAACAATGGTGTAAATGATCGGCGTTGTTTGGCAGGCAAGTTTTTTGCTAAGTTTGTCTGCTACAAGTTTTTTAAAAACTTTAATTATAGTAACCTCAAAAAACTTTTCAAAAGTTTTAAACTATACATTTCAAAATATTCAAAAATTTACATACTTCAAAAATTTTTTTTAAAAATTTCTATAGTATGTTACAGTAAAATTTTAGACAAACACCCAAAAAACTCACTTGTCAAACGGTAACTAAGTAATATTTAGTTATTCAAAATAACTGGATAATATTTAATGGATTTGTCTAATGAGTGCTCAGTGAGTACACATTAATACATAATTACATTTTTTTAAAAAATGAAGTTAAATTAAAGAGTAGGCAATAATTATTAGCATATGCATTCACGCGATATGTTTTTTATAATTATGTGTACAGACAAATTCTGATAAAAAATACCCTATGCTTCATTGTGTAATAGGATGCTCGTTATGCTTTTGTTAACTATTTGGTGTTGCAACAGGTAACCAACAAGGGGTGGTGGCGCAGTTGGCTAGCGCGTAGGTCTCATAGCTAAAGAGTGATCCTGAGGTCGAGAGTTCGAACCTCTCTCACCCCATTGTTTTGGATCTTTCAATTTGTATAATTTCATTTCTAAAAGAAAGAAGCTTGTGAAGGAGAAGAAACATATGATCTTCTCTTCCTTGTCCGTACAATGTCTAGAGCACAATACTAGGAAGATTGCGCAATTCAAATTTTTAGCAGAAGCTCCATGATGTTCATAGTTTTTAAGCCCTTTCTTTGTTTGGTAAGTAAGAATTTCCTACAAAACAAAGGAATTGCATAAAAGCTACTCAGAAAATCATGAACTGGATTGCATTTTTTTGAAATTTTTTAGAAAAATTACTATAACAATTAATATATGTAAGGTAAAAAGATGATTGCAAAATATATTCACAGAAAACATAACAATTTTTCTTTGGAAAATTGCTTTTCAAACAAGGCTGAATCCTAAAAATTGCAAAAATGGATATACAGGTATTTTTGTATGACAATTGAAGAATCAGATTCAGTGTGTGGTCTGAAAGCCAAATTCCCAAGCAAATGCCAAAACTAAAAATAAGAAACCTGGGCACACTCTACCTTTAGCAAAAACAGAGGTTCCTTTCATGGTTAAATTGTCAGAGTAACTGGAGCAAATCCAAGATTTCAGTCATCAAAGAAAACTATATACATATCCAGAGCAAATTGCAAGTTTACAAGAGTAAGAGTGATCAGTGCCAATCAAGCCCCCCAAGTGTGGTGGAACCCATCCCTTCCCATACTTCAGCACAACCTACTTCTTCATTATCAACACCTTCCATACTGTCGTCCCACCAGCCACCCCCATTTGCATCTGTTATGAACAGTTAAAAAGAATATGAGTGATCTTTTCCAGATGGACTGAGTTAAAATTTCATAGAAACTGAAAATGCTGTTTACTCCTACTCAATTATAGCTGAAGACTACTTGGAAGTTATACATACAATGATTGAACAAAAGATTTGGCTTCTCATGGTTTGCCAAGCTCTTCCTTCTTCCTCCTCTCTGTGTCACTGAATCATCTCCAAGGACTGCCACAAGCTTTTTAGCTGGTTTTTGATAATCACCTTATAATTTACAAAATGGGAGCAGCTCAGATTCTGACTCAAGTAAAGATGCTTGTGACGCAAATCTCCAAGAAATGTAAGGTATTGCACTCGTGTTCTGAAACCCACAACTAAAGTTGAAAAATTAAGATCTTCCGTTAACATGTTACAGTAATTCAAACAAAGGGACACTCAAAAGAGCAGCAGTTAAATGTAAAACCCTTAATAAGGTGAACCTTGAGCTGACCCTAAATATTTGCCTGCTCTAAAATCACGAAGTATCATCCTGCAATCTCAGACCTTTTAGAAGAAGATTAGTAGTTAATTTGCCACCTTTCAGTGTAGACAGTGCCATATACAGCACGAAAAGCAAATCCCTACCCCTCTCTGACACACAAGAAATGGAACAGACAGCATAGACATTCGCATATTTACCTAGCCAACCTTTTATGGTCAGTAAGCATTCTCCTAGTTTGACGCACTAAATAGAAAATTCTCCAATCTAAGCGAATTTTGCAGCATTAGAACCAAGATTATTAAAAGAAATTTAAGTTTGCATTATATACCTAATTCTTGAGAAGCACTACATAAATTGCTTAAACCTAGTTGGAACTACAAAAAGTGCCCAAAAGGCTCGGAAACTGAAAGAAGTTGGTTTGACTCAATATACTCAGAAAATGTATTACTTTGCATGTTGAAATACCATCAATCAGAAAATGTAAAGTGGTTTCTGTGCCCTATTTAGATGATCCTGAAAAATCTAGGTATTCCTTTCCTGTTTGCTTGTTAAAGAATGGTGAAATTCTGCTCGTCTTAGGTTCGGGTTTGGTTCTGTACAATCCACAGAGCAATACATTCAAGTATCGTCAGATAAATGGACTTGAAGAAGTGAATATGTATGCTGAGAGCTTGGTTTCCCCTCTATTCATTGAGGAGAATAGCCGCGTTATTATGAGTAAGGCTGCAGAAATAAGGGGAGAGAGCTAATGATCATCTTTTCTGCCACTTGCCGGTGAGGATCTCCTCCCTCCCCTGCTTCTGACTTTCCTGTAACAACTCAATTTTTGGTTCTGACTGTAAATTGTGTATCACATATCTGGAATATGCTAAGTCGGATGGTGTTATTCTGATTACTTTTGTTTGCAAGAGGACGTTTATTGCAGAAAGTACGTATTGACTAAGATTTTCTTGTTACTTTTAAACAATTTCAGAGGTCAGACAGCCTATAGTTTGGTGTTTGTTCCTTTTGGTTTTATAACTTTAGATCTATCTGGTTTCAGCTTTTGAAACTGCCCTGTTCTAGTTCTTTGATAGTCCTTCATTTGTTCATTTTCTAAAAGTAGATGGGTGGAAGAAAAATTTTATTTAATGGTTCTGGTAGCTTAGGTGATAGTTGAGGACACTTTGGAGGAATAGTTCATCAGGATGTAAAAGAAGCCTTAAAGTTTAGCAATATCTCTTTCACCTTATCCAACTAGTTTTTCCGGCATTGCTATTTTTTGCTTTTCAAAACAGTCCAAATGTGTGAGGCTTTTAATGTCATTTTACGGAAGAATCCTAGAATAAGTAGCTAGTGGTGTGAGTTATGATGAACTTGATAATCAGCCTTCTGTATCTCCAACTCGCTTCATATTACAGTTTAATACTACCCATCTGTTCCCTAAATTAATTATATTTCCAGATACTGCAATTGCATATTACTGAGCTCTAATCAAAGTTCATATTATCATCCTTTTGCCATCAACTTTTAGTAGCTTGTTGTTGCAAATAGTTATGATGAAGAACCTGTCAAAGTAGAACTGTTAAAAAGCGCAAAATGTCACTTATTCACATTGTCCGTTGGTTCTCTGAAGACAAACTTTGGTGGTTATAGCTTAACCTTTGATGCTTGATCATTTCATTTCCATGGAGAGGCCAGGCCTAACAAAGTACTTTACTATTTTCAAGAATCATTTGAAGAAGGTTTCTATACATTGTATATGATAGTTGACCAAAATAGAGTAGTTAGCTACTGTTTTCAAGAATCATCTGGTTGTTTTTAGTTGGACTGCTGTCTCATCTGTGGTATACTCAATTTAGTTCACCCAAATAGTCCATAAAGAGTATGTGCAAGTTAAAATCAATTTGCCAATCACAAATCATTAGATTTGAAGAGGTGGGCGTGGTAGAAAAAGAAAAATTGTGCCTCTAAATCTTTCAGAAGTGCTTCAAACCCAAAACAAAGCACTTCTGATGTAGAAAAAGAAAAACTGTGCCTCTAAATCTTTCAGAAGTGCTTCGAACCCAAACCAAAGCACTTCTGATTTTCTTTCTTCATGGAACCTACAACGTGGCTTGGGTCTTATGCTTCATGACATTTTACCCTTCACATCATTTGATTTAAAAAATCCATCTTTTAGGAAGGTCTACTCACTGTACCATTTTCAATTATGGAGGGCCTTTTAAGAGCAATTTTTGGGGCAGCATGTCTGAATTCCTTTTAGCAAAATCAACACTTAAGTAGCTGACCTATCCTTGCCCTTTAGCAATTTAGCAATAGTGTAGCGCAAAATGAAGCCTTTCTTATGGGAAATTATATGAAGCAAATGTAATGGCACGTCCTTAATGAGCTTTAAGGACAAATTACCAGTGCATTTTGTTTAAAATATGGCTGCCAATGGTTCCTAATGATTCTCCAAAGTCTTATGCCTTTAACTGCTGCTTCTTGCCCTGTTTCATAATGAAGTATGGGTGCCATTAGCATGAAGTATCAGATATTTATCTAGCTTTAGGCTAGAATTAAGATGTTTAATGAAGTATTAATTTAAAATTAAGACTAAGACGGGCTCCTTTCCCTTTTCCTTTGTGGTTATTTTTTGCTAGTTATAACAGGACTGGTAGGAAGATTTTGTTTTACTCTATGTCACAAGTTTACTGATTTTCCTACCCTATCAAATAGTTAGTAGCTGTAGAACCATTGACTGTGATTAAAGCTTACCAACCCTTAACCACATGAGTAGAATTAGCTATGGCACTAGTTGATACGTTTTTGCAGTAAAGCAACTGTGTTTATGCTCTTTGATCGTTTTTTCTTTTGTTTGATTGATTTTTCATTTTCTAAGTTGAATACACCTCCTAGACATCAACCTTGGCAAGATGCTTAATTGAAGAGGCTTTAGTTGGTAGGAGTCCCCGATGGCAGCCTTGACAATAGCACTTCAGCTTGAGTAGTATAACCTTCTTGGCCTTTACACTGTAAAAGATAAAATGTAGTTCCTCTGAGTGCCATTTTCTCAATTTTCAATGATATTGTATTGTTGCTCAATGAGGAATATGCAGCTTTATGCAATCACATCGTTGACTACTGAATGTAGCTTGATCAACCAGCAACCTGAAATCATTTCAATTTGATAATCTTTCAACTTGCAGCGACATGTGGTACAGTATGAATTATCAAATGGTTAGTGAAGAAACTTTTTTTTATACAGGGTGCTGGGAAGTTGAAGCTAATGCTGGTTGAGTTTGTTTTATCTATTTCAACAAAATGCAGGGAGCATCAGAACCACAAGAGAACAAGGCAATAAGCTTGTTCCCAGTTTCCACCCTATGCAGGCTAGGGAAATTTCTTATTGCAATATGTTGTATGTAAGGGATATGTATGAGATGCAAATGACTGTAACCATATTCTCTTTGATTTGGAGCATATTTTGGAAATGATGCATTTGATTCTGACTGGGATGGGGAGGGTATGGGTGGGTTAGTGCTGGTTTCTTTTATATATGCTGGCTCTTGTTTCTTGTGATTCATCAAGATATTTCTGTTCATTATCATTAAGATGAATCCTGTCATCAATCAAATAAACCACATTTGTCCAATATGACAAAAAAGGGGAAAAAAGTCTGGCCAAATTCTTTTAGAGCAATTTAGGAAAATTTTTATTTCAAAATGTCCTTTTAAACCCATATATCATTGACACCCTTAATGTTGAAAATAAAAAGACACCCAAATTCGTTCTATAAAAACCTAACAAAACCTATTAAGAATATTATTATTGTCGTATTTAGCCTAAGCAACGTGGATAGTTGCACCATGTACAATATTGGCGTTGTATAATTTGTACTCTAACTTAAGCAAACTATATATATATATACATATATATATATATAGCATATTTTAAGACAAGAAAGAGAGTCCCGTGGAGAAATGCGGAAATTAATTTGGTTTAAAATCAAATGAACTTTATTTTCTTTTTAAATGAGGATTAATACTATTTTCACTCGTTCCCTTGACGACTCAAAACTTATAATCAAGAGGTTGCAAGCGAAGCGTCTTACTTACTAAACTATATTTTGTCTGCATGATCTTCCATTCAATACAAAATGGATAGTGAATATATTGCTTGAATGAAAGGTACATTCATACATGTAGATGTCATCAAGGATAAACATTTACAGTAAAACACAGGCGGCAGCATTTCCAGGATTCCAGCATGACAATTGACAACTATGGAGAATCACTGTCAAGAAGAATGATGTACAAAGGATAAGTCCATAAATTTACGTTATGGACTTTGGATCACTTCATTTGGCTTGCATCCAATGCTTAAGAAGCATATCAATTTTACATAACACTGTACCATAACTTTGGCGTCGTCTTACAGAAACATGTTTTAGAGCGGCGGCAGCCAAGATTCCAACAACAGTGGTGAAATATCAACAACCGTCAGATTATGAAGAATTGTGTATAAACTATTGTGTCCGAATCCCTTTTTGGAGCTTCTTCATAGATCATAATGCCGAAAGCATTTCCTCCAAAGCCTTATTTTATCCATGCCTGTCTCAATAAGTCGTCAGTTCAAAAACTGTGGATATACAGCCGGCCTGTGCTGCTGCCTGGATTATTAGCCATCATCCATATCCTTCCACCAACATAAGATGCGTTTTTGCATCCATTGCATGTAAACTTGTGGATGGCAAAACGCCATACAAAAAGTTAACACTCATACAAACTAATAGAGATAATCTATGAACTTTGGAAAGAAAAAAAAAATAGGATGTACTTTTTGTCAAAATCCAAAACTAAGCTAAGTTTTTGTCAAAATCATGAAAAATGCATGTTGGGGGATAGACCTTGGCTGCTAAGTATAGCTAGCAAAGCAATATTTGTAAAGGGAGGGAGAGAAAATGTAGGATTAACGATTAATTGGCCATTATTTTGCAAGCCTAAGTATAATCCATACCCTAAAGCAAAGGATAAATCAGTATGAGAAGGCTAGGTTAATTAACTTCAAAAACTCTAAAATTACCATCCATCCCTTAATTAGACATACTTGGTCCAGTAAAGTAAAGAATTGGACAAAATATATCCGTCTTTTCGTGAAAATAGAGCAAGGATCGATTTTCTGCAATCAATGAAACAATGGAATCTACCTTTGCCTTGCGATACAAACAGAAGGATCCTCCGCACAAACTGGTCGGTCGAACAGGCAAGCCCGCTTGGGAGAAACTTGTATTCTCTTCCCTCCATGCACCAAAGAATCCCAGCCCTGCCTTTAAATTTCCATCCTCATCTAGTCATTTCTAACACCCCCCCCCCCGGGGCGGGGGCTATAAGTTCCCAACCTAACGTCAAGTGAAGTAGGGAAGGAGAAGAATCAATGGAGGAGCTACCAGCACCCCTTGAATTACTGCCCCATCTCCCTAATGAACTCATCATTCTTGAAATCCTTCCAAGACTCCCAGTCAAGTCACTTTTGAAATTCAGGTGCGTTTCCAAATCATGGCTTTCTTCAATCTCAACCCCACATTTCATCAAAGCCCATCTCGAAAAATCATCCCAAAACAAAGATCACAGTCACCACAGCCTCATTGCACACTCTTCTGCACCACATATAGCTTTCAAGAACTGCTCTGTTCAGTCTTTGCTGCAACAGCCAGTTACTCATGCAACTAATGTTAATTATCCCGTTGCAAATACCTCTAGTTCAATCTCTGTTGTGGGTTCTTGCAATGGGTTGATTTGCATTGTTGTCAACTGTGAACAAATTCATATATGGAATCCATCCACGACAAAATCAAATACGTTGAATGACTCAGATTTTATAAGGGAGAAGCATTGCTACACTATTTATGGTTTTGGACATGATGAGATGAATGATGATTACAATGTAGTGGCGATTATAAACCCTCTTAATCGTGTGAAGATTGAGACTAAGGTTTACAGCCTAAAGAGTGATAAATGGAGGAGGATTGATGATTTTCCCGGGTTTTTCCCTTTCTACAGTTGGGGGAAATATGTAGAAGGAAAGCTACACTGGCCTGGTTTCAGTGGTAAGCAAGACAGGGCTGTTGTTTCTTTTGATTTAGCTCAAGCTAAATATGGAGAATTGAAGCTTCCAATCAATGGAGATGGAGCTTCGTTTCCGCTACTCGGAGTACTAGGGAGGTGCCTTTGTGTAATGTACGAGTATCAGTGGTCTAGTGTGGATCTATGGGTGATGAAGGAGTATGGAGTGATGGAATCTTGGATCAAGATGCTTACTTTTCCAAGTTTTGGGATTCGAGGCCATGTCCCGTTGTGCATTTCAAGAAATGGTGAAGTTTTAATCCAATTTGAATCTACTCTCAAGTTGTACAATTTGCAAGGTGATTCAGTCGGAAATCCTAAGATCATGAACATGGATGAATGCTGCGATGCAATCTACTATGTTGAGAGCCTGGTTTCTGCAAATGCTAATGATAAAGAAGACAGGCGACATGGATAGCAAAGGCAAAAGAGGCAAAAAAGGAAATTTTCTGGGTTTATTTCTAGTGTAATGCCAAGTATTTATTGTATACCTTTTCTATTTGAGTCTTCTGGCAATTAACAATTTTTTTTTTTAATTTCATCAAGATGAATTCTGTCATCAAACAATTAATAAACCAAAATTGGCCAAATGAAGATAAAAATTAGCCAAAATGAGGAGGGAATACATAATTATTGAATTAGATATAATTAGAGAAAACTTGCATGTGCAAATATTTGGTGGTTTGTACTTCAAGTGAGTTTGGGTTGTCTTAAACGTGGGCTGAGCGATCTTGGTTTATGTTTAATTTGCGCAACTAATAACTATGATCAAACCTTGGATTTAGTTTGGTGAAAATGGACCCTGAAAGGTTTGTTAATACCACTATTTTCTTTATCACTCAACCCGACCTTCTTCCTTGTTAATACTTAATACAACTATGATTGTTATGAAAAAGGAAAAAGATATTGCGATGAATAAGTAATATTAGTTACTTACTTTTAATTAGCTTTTTTTTTTTTAAGAAAAAATATGGTCATGTTCTGTTGCCAAACTAAAAGGGCTGTTGCCAAAGTGCAAGAGAACAATCAAACTTTTTTTTTTCCTTGTAATTTCAAGGAAACTCCAAGTTTTACTATTGTATCCAGACTAATGTCCCTATCACTTGAGTTGAATTTTAGCAATTGATGTTCTCAAGTTACAGAGCTAGAAAAAATTTTAGAGAGGTAACAATAGGTTTGACTCTGTTGGCACACAAAAATGTGTGTATACAGCGAAAGCAATTTTAACACATATAAAAATATATGGGAAGAGAAGGAAAACAAATACTCAATAATTTAATTAACTCAAAACCCAACAATAATATATATCAAGTCGTAGCTTTTCTTTCGCTCACAACAACTCACAAATCTCAACTATGAGATTTTCTCTCAAACCTATTTACTCGCAAAACTCAACTCAACTCTTTTAAGCTTAACCTAGCTCGACTGTTGATACAAGGATGGCATGATCAACAACCCCACTATTTCATCCGCCCCATTCCGGTGGCAGTGGAACTAGATTCCACCAAGAGACGTGTAAGGCCAATAAGCGAAGCTACAGAAAGTACATCATGTGGATGTTGACTAATAACTAATTAAGTTAATCATCTTTCTCTTTCTTTGGTTAAACATGAGATATTACGTCATATGAAATTATGAATGCTGAAATCTTTTTTTTTTTTTTTCTTGTGAAGGATGAATGCTGAAGTCTTTAGTTACTGATCTTTCTCTTTTCTTGAGTTAGGCCAGTTGTGACTTTTATGGCCATGATCCAAGGAGGATCCAATCGTACTGAAAAAGCCTACAGTCGGAATAGAATGCCTAATAATGGGATAACGACATATGTGCCTATATTGTGTCATTACTGGGGTAAAATATGAAGAATAAATCATTTCCCCTGAAAAAAAGTATATAAGGAGAATCTGAATACGTCATGGTAAATAAGAAATAAAGGTGGTGTATGGATTCGAGTTTTCTACCAGAAAGTTTTTATGTTTTTTGTGAACATATTTTTCAATCACATTTTCACTTCATATGCATTAAATTATCATAATATATTTTTGGAAAAATCGCCAATTTAGTCCTCAAACTATTTTACTAAAGTCAATTTGGTCCCTCAATATTTTATCGCACGAATTAAGTCCCTTAACTAAAATTCTTGTGGCAATTGAGGACTTATACGACATCGCTACCCAAAACACGTGTATCTGTATAGAAACCAACAGCGAGGCAGGGCCTTTTTTGGAAGTACACATCCTAATTTCTACGGCAAGCAAGACAGATCCCATTTTGCATCCAAATTGGGGGAAACCTATGAAATTAGGGGTTTTCGGTTTCCCAAGACATAACCCATTTTTCATCCAAGACGCAACCCCAGTTGCAGCGCTCGGAGAGACT